ACTTAATAAAGGAATGTAAAGTTTGAACCTTGGATAGTTTGTACCCTGTAGATGTTGTATAAATGTATTAACTTAATAAAGGAATGTAAAGTTTGAACCTTGGATAGTTTGTACCCTGTAGATGTTGTATAAATGTATTAACTTAATAAAGGAATAGAAAGCGATGTGTACAATATGATTCTGCAACTAATACTGTCTAGTAACATACTGTTGGTATTAACGTATCTTACATACAGTTGAAATGCTTTACTTGAAAATTAAAAAAATACCTACTTTGATAAATTGAAGTCCACTTGAAACTGAAGTTCAGTCTGACAAATATCATCCGCACCACAATTCTTCATAAATGTAGCCTAATAAAAGCAGTTCATGGATTAGTCTTTCAGATATTCTTTCATGTAATTGGTTACTATATAGTTATGACATCCTGAAAACTACTTTTCATTGCTTTTTTTTCAATTTTCAATATATTTATAAAAAAGATCATGTATTTGTATAAATAATTATTCAGATGTAGCCTAGCGGTCAGTACATGTAATCAAAGGTCCACGGTTTGTGACTCGTGGGGCTGGGGGTGTATTATAAGAGTGACAATTATTTAAGTTCGACTAGAGTGAGCCAAGAGTTGTCAGTGAGTAGTGTTCCCAGCTGCCTTCCATGTAGATCATCAGTTAAAAATTAAGGATGGCTAAGATAGATACCCATCACGTAGATTTATTCAAGTATCCAAAACAAATAAACAAAATTAATCAATTATGTTTAAATAGACATATTAATGTATAAAATGTTACTAAAACAATGAAACGTCTTTATGTTAAGTGTTGGTATCTACAGAAGTAATCAATCTGTGGTTGAGGTGGAACGAGAGTTGTTTCATGATAGAATTAAACAATTTTTACAAAGCACATTTCTAAATGAAACAATGTCGTGCATTCAGTCACATTGTTATTTTTGTACTGTAATTCAACTTTACAGTATTCTTCAAAATATCAGACATGAAAAGTGAAAATTTTAGTCGAGCTACAGCCTGACTAAGCTAATAGGTTTCTACAGCTATGTGACCTGTAGGTATCGTATCATATACAATGTAAACATTTTGACACAGTTATAAAAGTTATGCAAAAAGAAAAATAAATTTGTACAATTAAACTGTTCCACAAAAAATAAATTACATAATTTAAATTTCTACCTGAAAGTTTTTTGAAGCTTCCTGCTGGTTTAAAATTGGATAGAAGCTAACATCTGGTAGGTCTTCACCTTCCTCGGGCATGATAGGTTCTTTTTGAATCAATGTGTAGGTTAGCTTAAAGTTAATGGGATTCTGAATATCACTTTTCTCCTAGAGACAGAAATATTTAAGGTCATTGTCAAGAGAAATGTTTGAAATTTGCTAACAAAGTGAGATTTGTTTTATTTAAAAGTGTAATTATGGATCTAGTTATGTTTTAAAAGCTCTACATAAGATCACGAAAGTATTATATAAAACAGTGACTGACCACTTTATTAGGACATCCATTTAAAATTAGGTTTGTCCATTCTTTAGTAATTCATTGTGGCATGGAATATACAAAATATTTTAAGAGAGGTTGTTTAACTGTAGCCCATTCATCAAGGGTTGTGCTTTTCAATTTAATTATAAATGTACAACAGATGTGGGTGACAACTGTTATGTTCAAATTTATCCTAAAGATGTTACATCAAACTGAGATTTTGCCGGTCAAGAAAAATAGGTTAAGTCACTCTCGTGGTTTTTGAACCAGTTGTGGACAATATGAGGGCTGTGGTTTGTTGCATTATCATTTTAGAAGATCCAGCATTGCTCATGGGGAAAATGTGACTTACAACAACAGTTATTTGTCCTTCTAAACAAATCAAAAGGCCTAAATTATGTAATATTCCCCACACCATTACACCACCTCCAGTAGTTTGCATTATTGTACAACATAAGCAGTATCAAATGTGTCAGGTTTTCTCCATACTTTTAACTATTGTCAGTACAGCAAAAGATGAAACATGGAACATTGGTTGACAGCTGTTACACTATACAAGCATGTCCAGCCACCTTTTCCATTAAACTGCCACCAAAGGTCGGTAGAAACAGTTTGCTCAAGTGGAAAGCATATAAATTTTTAGCCGCAGCATAATGGCTCAGAGAATGGCTCTGAGTTTTTGTCAAGTACAAACTTTTAGCGCATAGCTCCATATCTTGAGTGATGTGAGATTTAATTACAGCTGTGGCTACAGCATAATGGCTCATAGAATGGCTTTGAGTTTTTTTCAAGTACAAACTTTTAGCGCATAGCTCCATATCTTGAGTGATGTGAGATTTAATTACAGCTGTGGCTACTGGGAATTCCCTCTTGTTATGTACTAATAAAAAGATTTTATAATCATTTCTAAGGGAAATATTCTTGTTCCTAACCAGTATTTTGCAAAGTAACCATGATATTAGTACAATTTTGCATTTACAGGATTCATATTGCATGATAAAGTGTATTTTGATATGTAAATAATTTGAAAATTCTATGCATGTGTATTAGTGTGTGTGTATAAATCTCAAGTCACTGTATATAACTTCTAAATCTTACATAATATAAACATCTAAAGTTTTAATATTAACATGTTTATTTCTTTATTTACTTTTAATTTATTGTTGTAATGATGAGAAATAAATTTGGCACTGTGAGACAAAAGGTTAACAATATCTATAATCTAGCTCATTGAAAGTGAGCTAGAGGTTAACAATTATCTATAATCTACTTCATTGAAAGTGAGCTAGAGGTTAACAATTATCTATAATCTACATCATTGAACGTGAGCTAGAGGTTAACAATTATCTATAATCTAGATCATTGAGAGTGAGCTAGAGGTTAACAAATATCTATAATCTAGATCATTGAGAGTGAGCTAGAGATTAACAAATATCTATAATCTACATCATTGAAAGTGAGCTAGAGATTAACAAATATCTATAATCTGGATCATTGAGAGTGAGCTAGAGGTTAACAAATATCTATAATCTAGATCATTGAGAGTGAGCTAGAGGTTCACAAGATCTATAACCTAGATCATTGAAAGCACATTATTCAGCATGAATGTTTTCCTTAGATTTACAAAGCTCAGTTTGCATTATCTTGATAATGTTCTGCACATTAATGATACTGAAACTGTTTATGCAGAACATTCTAAACATTTTTAAGTTAAGCTACCTTAAGATAGACCACTTCCGTGGAACATTCAAAAGATTTGATTGCTTCCCATTGAAGTATAATGTTTTTCTCTACAATATTGGGTGTTTCAGTTTCTTTAACACCGTCGAAGTAAACACGATGGAACTTCCTTCGTGGCTCTGCTTCGATACGATACTTTATCCTGATTTGGTTTCCATGAGATACAACTGATGGGATGAGCTTGAAACATGCTTTAAAAGAAAAGCTGAAAAAACATACAGCTCATAAAACTTTCATACCATGTTGATTTAAAACATTTATTTCATTTGTTGTTTCCAGAACAATCTTAGACATACACTGATATTGTTAGTAAAACAACACAACGTCTCTAATTCCAAAACAGAAAAATTGTGTTCTTACAATATATTTTATTTCATTCTATTGTTACACAATAGACAAATTCAGCATTCAGTTAGCATAAAAAGTTAGGATGATATTTGTTTTGATCACGGCATCTACTTAAATTAAAACACCTGAAGTTATTACGTGGTTTGAATTATCTGTGAAATTATTACCCACCAAACTAAGGCTGACGTAGGGTTAGCATCACAGCCTCGTTTTGTAGCATCAATACTCTTCAGATTCCCTTCCACTGTTGTAATAATATCTATGATTGGTCGACCCCTGTAACAAAAACTTTTCTGGTAACGTCCTTCATTCATTGACTTTCTACATAAAAATGTGTGTAAAAATGATATATATGTATGTACATACATGTTTATGAAGTTCTAGCATTTCTTACAAACACAGCTTTCTAACATATACAATAGATTGGTTTCTTTCATGTGTTTCTACTTCTGACATTCTTTTACTCAAACAAGAAAAGCTACTTTTAAAACAGAGCTACAAAATATGTATACATAACTATACAATTTAAATGGTAATATATATATATAATTGGGGCAGTACTATTACAAGAACATGAAGACAGACTGTTCCCAATAACATATATAAGTAAAAAGTTGTTGAATAGTGAGAAGAACTACTCAGTGATTGAACGAGAGTGTCTGGCTATTATATTTGCCATTCGGAAATTCCAGAACTATCTATATGGGAAGGAGTTCATCATCCAGACAGAGCATCAACCACTTGCATACATCACAGGTGCAAGATCAACAGTGCAAGGATCATGAGGTGGGCACTGTATCTTCAGAACTACAGGTTCTGCATTGAGACCATCAAAGGGACTGCAAATGTTGGAGCAGACTGTGTTTAAACTAACAACAGTCTTTGTATATAGTAAAAAAAAAAATTATTGTAAATATTTTATCTTGAA